CAGAATTAATCTCTTTTTCTGTAATTGAGTTTGTAAGTCTCTCAGCATCTTGAAGCTTCAGTCCTTATGAATAAAATGGAAATAACATGCTTCCCTGCTTTGCAGTAAGTGTCATGAGGCTAACCTCAGTACAGTCTGGGAGATATTCTGATGTTAGATATTGTCAGTAAATGAGAAAACTGTCAAAAAATTGTTCAGCACTCCATCTACATAGTTTAGTCATCGTTCCTTACATCCTACTCAAGGAGCAAATTGTAAAAGTCGTTGTGCCTCTACCAGATCTGGGAAGGCAAAAGATCGCTGCCAAGACTAATTCATAGGTACCGATCCACCTACTTAGAGCCTGTGGGAGATCTGCAGAGCAAAGGAAGAAAAATAATTTATGAGGGCATAGAAAAAACTCTGACATGAGGGAAGAAAGCAAGCTGGAGCATGGCAAAAGAAAGCAGTATAATAAATGTAACTACCAGGGTGTTCTACATGTCAGTTCTCCCATCCTTCCAAGCAACAGTAATTAGAGGTAAGAGCTGTTAACAAGACATGCATCAAATGAGTCAGTGCATCCAGGGCCTTTCAGTCCCTTGTTGTACGTGGTGACTGCAGATGCCAAAAGAAGAGAAAGTATTCTCTTCTGAACACATTTAATTTTCTATGTCCTCATAAAAATTACTTTTAGACATTTCAGAGGTGTGTGGCAAAGAGCCAATGTAACTGCTGGCATTACACAGATCGTGGCAAGGGGATTCCTCCTGCACTGTGCTTATTGTGCTGTGGTCTGAGCCAGGCCTGTGATGTGTGGAAAAAACATCTGCTTCATGAACATCTGGACTAGATGGCCGCACTCGTGCCAAGTGCACAGCTGGAGCAAAAACAAGGCAGAGGTGCTGATGGGCCTGGGCTCTTCCAGCAGGTAAGTGAGCAGAGTATCACCCAGACACGAGGTGAAACTCTCAAGTGAAGACTTGTCTTTGTGAGGCTCAAGTTCTGCAATTTCCAAATCAGCGATTACAATGCTAAAATCTGTGCCTACAGATTTGTGAGCATGTATGTAGTGCCTAGACTGGCCTTCCCCCTGAGATGTGGCATAGTTTTAGTCTGGGCATGGTTTATGTTCTCTTTCTGTTCCTTCTTCCAGTGTTGGGTTTCCCTCATTTTAAGTCTTTTATCAAGACTTACAATATTGTAAGTCTTGATAAAAGTGGACTTCTTTTTGTTTTTGCTTTGTTTCCCTCTGGATTCCAGTATATTTAATATACACTTTTGTTTGAATTGAAGTAGAATTTATATCTGATTGGTAATAAGAACAACACTTTTAGTTCTACTTCATCTTGATCTTGCTGATCTGCATCTTCAGTGACCTGTTTCTGCTGTGTGGGCTCCAACATTCATTTCTGTGTTTAACCTTCCAAGTTTCTCCACTGCAAAGATGAAAACTTTGTTTAAATATTTGAATTCCATTTCCTGTGAATGCCTTTTAGCACTATTAGATGAGCAAATCTCAACTTATACATGTGACTGTTATTATATTTCAGCTTAGTGACTTTTGGCATACAAAGCTTTGAGCTGGGAATGTATTTCGCAGGTCTGTTTTGAAAGATGAATGTAATACACTTCCTATGCATAAGGTCAGTAAAACCAGCAACAAGTAAACAATAAAATAGTTTATTTTAGTACTACTCTGAATTTATTAGTGCATTTTTGTAAATACATTCAATTCTCCTGTGATTAAGATGATTAATATTAAGTTATATGAAATAATTTATGAGATATCATTATAGTTAAAAACATGATTGTTATCATTAATTTATTAACCACTATATGTGGTTTATTCTCATTAAAATACCAGCACAGGAATGCTATCTTTTTTATGACCTTGGTATTCATAAGCCTTAACAAAGTGAAGAAAGAATGAAGTTAAATAAGAATAGTTACCTATTCAGGTAAGGAATATTTTCACACCATTTGGCATCTATCTGTTTGTCTTGCTTGTTACTTGTGAGAAAAATTTGGTTTGATCCTTATTATAAAATGAGGGAGGAGGTGTGAAGTTGTGTTTTCTAATTACTAATATAGGTTATGCATAAAAATACTATGTTGTGTGTATACTACTGCTATGCATAATGGTAGTTGTAACCAAAGCTACCAAGAACTTTTCAATGCTCTTGTAGTGTAACACTATTCATATTCAATGTGCTGTGAAGCTTGAGCATGGTGAATTTGTTCCTTGACTTTGCCAGGTGATTCTTGAGTTGTTACAGGCAACTTCATTTACCTCTCTGAATAATTTTCTTCATCTCTCTTAAAAAAATACCTGAAGTATCTGAACATTTACAGACTGTAGAGAATAAAAGTCTAGCCCTATTGTAACTTTGAGAGTTTTTGAAGTATCTCACTTGTGATACATGGAAGTGCTTTCACTTTAAGTACCATTAGAATTTTGTAAGAATGACTTAGCCTTGTATTTATTTAGTTATAGCAAGCAAAGACATTTTTTCATTCAATGTGTTTGTAGAATTCAGTCAAAGGGATGCAAGCCTTTGAAGGAGATTTCTTGGAATTGTCAGTTGCAAACAGCCAATATAATATAGGCAGCAGCCACTAATTTTGCATCTACAATTATTTTCAGGTGCAAAGTGAGCCATGTTCTTAGTATATGTACAAGGCTCGAAATGTTTTAATTTAACTGTTCAGGTAACACTTAATACAGCCACTGAGAGATGTGAAAGCATCAGCTAGATCAAGGCTTCTTAAAACCAGGGAACTTAGAATATGCCTTACACAAACTGTCAGAGTAAGGGCATGAATGATCCACATCTCACCAGATAGTTTTGTGGAGGAATATTATTGTACTTCTGAATGCAGAGAATGTGTTAATCTCAAAACAATCAATGTCCTAACCAGAAAAATTCATTCCAAAAAATCCATTCGTTCACTGGAGCTAAATCAGAAATCAGAGAAATTTTTTTTTTGTTCATTCATGAGAAGTCATGTTCATATATTTAAACATTAGAATTTACTTATTTGTTCTTGGATGTCACAAATACTTGAGTGAAAATTACCGTATGTCAGAAATCAAAAATAGTTATCCCAAACCACTTTCTCTAAACAGACAAGCATAGCCCCAGAACCCACCTCTGACCCTTGTCTCTCCCCAGAAAACACTGCTATTCAGTTTCTCAACAACAGCTTGCTTCAAGTACAGGAAGTGTATTTCCAGTGACAAGAGCAGAGTTGAGCATGTGTCCAGCAGCTGCCCTGGGTAGGTTGCACTGTGTGCTCAGGAGGTGTCTTGGGACTGGAAGAAGCACATCTGCAAACCCAGCTGCCAAGGCTTGGATGGGGGAGCAGTGCCTGGCACGGCCCCATGTGAGACGTGCCCCTGCTGCCAGGCCCACACCCTGCTGTGGGACTCCCCTACACTGCCTTCCATGGTGTGATCTTCATCCCAGTCCTCCTCAGAGGAGAGCACTGGATAGCAATGTATGCAGAAATTCAAGCCTGAAGCCTTTACAATCTTCTTAGGTCTCAATTACGTAAATTAATCTTCCCTGTACTATTTGAGCTTGTAAAAAGTCTCAAGTAGTATTTCATTGTCTGTATGTTTGTGTCTGAATAGATAATGATGGCCAGAAAAACAATTAAGGGAAACATATGCTTTGTACTGGAATTTTAGCTGTTGCATATTATGGCAAAATGGTGTCTTGGTGAACATGCTGCTCTGGTGATGAACTTTTGTTTCATTAAATGAAGCGCACCATATGGTGCAAAATGCTGCCTTTCTACTTGTTTGTGTTGCATATACTTACATCCCCTTCTTTTTGATACTGTGTGAGGGTTGGAAGGGTATTGTTGGCTAATATAAAATTTCTGATTTATAATACTAGATCTGCATTGTAGTGGATAAATGTTTTCATCCATAAATAATTAAATGTACAGTTTTTCTTGGGAACGAACTGATTATGTCTTAATATTTACATCTGTAACTTTGCATTTGCAAGGACAAACATGAATGCTAGGCTGAAGGTTGCCTGAAAATCTGGTCTTGCATATTCTATGAAAAATATTACTCACATTTCTCACAGGTGAATAAACTGCATGCATGGATGAATCTAGTTAATTCAATGGTTTAATAAACCTAGAATCCCAATGAGGTTATAACAAATCCCCCTGGTGTCTTGGAGTTATGAGAAAGATGTATAAAATTATATGCAAGCAGAAGAGCTCTTTCTAAATTTGAGGAGTCTTTTGCACATTATTTTTTTTTTCTGTTCACTACATAAAATAACTTCTCACCTGTGGCTATGTCATATTAAAATATCACATCAATTATTTTTTTGAGGGCAATATCGAGTCAATTTGCATCTGACTAGATTTTTTTTTTTTCCATTTGAATAGTTTGTTTTTAAAATAATTAGGCAGCATGAAGACAGATGCCTCTCTTAATTTCCCTGTAATAAAGATGGCTGGCGTGAAGTGGAAATATCTGCAGTTCTCCAAGATGCCCCATTTTCAGATGTTAAACAGGTGGATCTTGGATCAGAACCAATTCTCTAGGTACAAACACAGGAATAGCACGTTGACTAGGAATGACTGATTTAGCAAAGCAGCTGGAACTAATATAACTGAATAAATATGAGATGAATGCTAGTTTCAGGGTCACTGTACTCTGAATTATAATCTGGACAACTTGGCAATCTAAAGCCTGGTCAGTTCTTAGATGAGGAACCTTCCAGAAAAGAAGTATTAGGCAGAAAATTATAATTTTATGATAATAGTAGGTATCTTTTGCTGTGTTTTGATACAGAAGCAAAATCCTAGCCTAGGGACTGGGTTGGCCTTTTTCAGTATCATGAATGTGTTGTTATTTTACAGGCATTTGCAGGGAGAGGATACCCATTCCAAGAAACCTCAATATGTTGGAAGGGGTCTATATTTTCTGGTGGAAAATAAAGCAGATGCTGCGACTGCATGTTATCATGGAGAGATCCTACTTCATGCTCAGGAAAAGGAATCTGTTGTTTTTCACAGCTTCGGAAATGGGGAACAAGTTCTGCCTTCATTTTACACTGAGTTAAGTAAAAAATTGCAGGTAAAGTAATGCTGAGTGCTGTAATCTCTCTCAAAGATGCACACATTTTAGAAATATACTTGGAATACAGCAGCAGAAACTTACACTGAAATTTTCATTTAGTAAAGTTCTCTGGAGCTTAGAGGAAAAAATAATGAAACTGAAGAAAAGCATGATTGATAAGAAGACTTTCCACTGAATGGATTCCTGTATAAAATTGTAACTTTATTAATAGGTGAAGGAGGATAAAATGCACAAATTATATCTAAGTATGTGGAAAGCCATATACTCTGCCCTGGTTTAAAAGATCCCAAGTATATGAAATTGAAATGTAGCTGAGTTGATTGTAGTCTTATATTCATTACTCTTCAGCACTGCTGGCAGAATCCCTTCTAACCAAATGAGCATAACATGCTTACTTAGCACTTTCACAAAGCCTTGAGTTTATAATCACAATTAAATCACTTCCTTTGCAATAATTACACAATCTGAATTGATCCGTGGTAATACAAGAAAATTTTAATTCCCCATTTTAATATCAGAAATCCACTTGGTTTTAGGTAGTCTCCAGCTCTGTATGTCACCTGTATTACCATTTATATTCTTTGTTAAGTCTGCTGAGTGTACTCTTCTGTTTATTTCATGAGCATACTTCTAAAATACACCTGCAATCTCATGTAGGCAGAGCACTTCATTTCTCTCTGCCTTACCTTATCTAGCCCACAAATGAGTGCAAGTGTGAATAGCAAACTTGCTACATGCTGGAGGGTCAGGGCAACAGCCTGAAGAGGCAGCAGCTCTGATGCCATCAGCATCTTCAGAGTAGTCTTCTAGAATCCTATTTCTTTTTAGAAATGAAGACCTGGTTTTCCTATCCACTTCTGGAGGCTGGGTTCTGTCCTGCAGAATTTGCTGCCTCAGCAGAAAGAGGTTCTCCAAGAAAGCAGTGCCCTAAATTCTACTGTTCACCATTTGAAAGAGGCAGCCAGGTAGAATTTATTTCTCTCAGGAGTTTTTATTTTGCTGATTAATTGTTTTCTACACTAGGCTATTATGTTGGTAAAATATTTATAACCATTATGATGAAAATTGCCAGGAAATGAATTCACACAGTCCTGCTACCTTTAGATTTTTTTTTTCCCAGGACTTTGAAACACTGCTGTGGTTTTGGCTTGCCTCTCTAGTCTTGCTATTCTTTTCTGTCACACTCAGTAATTGGCCTAATAAAAGGCAGTAACAAGAATTTATTACACCTTGGGCGATACTTGAAACAAAGTTTATTTGCTGGAGCAGCACTTTTTATCTACTCGCTGCTGTATATTTTGACAGTCTTTCTAAATATTAAATCTGACTTTATTAAAAGTTAAATCTTGGTGCTTTTTTGTGATTGCTGCTGTTTTTGCAGTTTCTTAAGCAGACTAGTACATATATAAACATATCTTTTTAACGAAGCTTTTGGAGAAATAATGTAAGCTGTGGATCTATCTGCTTATTGCCGGAATCCACAAAAAAAGGTATGAATTGAAGACCAGCTTCTATGGTACTTTGTAGTTTAGTTTTGGAATAATGTATGTGATTGACTGAGAGAACAAGCATGAGAACTATTCAACTTTCTGAATGTTCAGATTTGAGGAAATCTTCCTCAAGCAAATGATGCCCTTAACATTTTAAGCTGGCAAAGTAACAGCAGTAAAATTAAAGCAAGGTTAGATTGCTATGATGTAATTTCCACTTTTAAATCTTGATTTCTTCTAGATACTGAGTGGTAAAACCATAAACTTTGTTTGTTTTCTAAAAAGGCCTTAAGAAAGAGCAGTAAGTCATCCTGGAACTGTTTATGCAGGAATTTTTATTCTTTGAAATCTTCCAGTGTTAAAGCAACAAGAAAACATTTATAATGTCCTTTGGTGGAATCTTATTACACTTGTTATATATGTAAACTGATATTCTTTGATGCCAGCACGTTGCCCATACAGAGAAATCTCTGCACAATTAAATGAAAGGAAAAAGAAAAGGACTAAATAAAAAGTAATCGTTTTCTCTTACCTGATTAGAATTAAATACATTAATAAATTGTCTGGTAACACAAATAGGCAATAATACAAAAAATCTACATTGTACATTATTTCAAGAAAAATAACTTCATTTGAATACAAAAGGATAAATACACTTTTTGTCCTATAGCCACTCTTGTACAGTAGGTGAACACAGCATCTTACTGATGCAGTGCTGCTAAGGTATACAAGGATATGACTGGCTTGAGTTTTATCGAGGGGGCTGTTACACATGTGCATCACTAACATCGGACAAAGAAATCTTTCAACCAACAAGGGTTACAGAGCAACGTTCACTAAAGCACAGGTCGGAAAGGATTTGGGGACTGAAGCAGGCCAATATGGCAGCTTTTACAGATTTCCTTATACCCACAATGCACTGACAGCAAAGAATGCCTTGGTTTGGTCAGTCCAGAGAGGAGTAGCGATGTCGTTGGAGTCTCTCCCGTTCCGGGGGCTGTGGAAGCCACGTCAGTCCCGCAGCTGATGGATCGGACGGAACAGGCAGCTGCCAGCGCGTCTCGATCCGAGCTGCGCGCCCTCCACTCGCAGCCCTGTCCGTGACTGAGCGATATGGCTTAGTTCAGTTCGGCCTTCCTAGGGTTTGTAGGTGGTTGCTGTGGCTGTTCGGTCTGGGAAGCCCGCGGCGGCGCGGGGCCGAGCCTCAGCGGGCGCGGGCGGCGAGCAGCGCGGGCAGCAGCGGCAGCAGCGGCCGCAGCGCGCCGGGCCCGCGCGGGGCCGAGCTGCGCCCGCAGCCGCCCGGCTCCCGCTCGCAGCGCAGCTTCTCGCACAGCACGCCCGTGTAGGCCGGCGGGCACTGGCAGCGCGCGTTGTTGATGCACGTCCCCCCGTTCTGGCAGTGCAGGAGCTCGTTGTCGCACACGTTCGCTGCAAGACAGCGGGGGAAGGGGGACAGAACAGAGAGCAGATGTAAGTTTGTGTTCGGCAGAAACGCGCTAGAACCAGAACTGAGGCTCCACCTCCCTCTCTTCCTGAGACATGTGAAAAGGGGCTCTGCTTTTTCAAATACTCCGATATTATTCCCCCTCCCCTTAAGGCTGTATTCTTGGAAAACCATCTAATTCACTTAGCGCCACTGACTAAAGTATTGATTAATTTTATATGAAGGACTATTTAATATTGAAACAATAAGAATTTTAATACACGCCTTGTGCCTATGTCTGCATCTTTATAGTTACCGCTAAACTGGAACTGTAGGTGATGTGTGTTATTTGAAAGGGGCGATGTATCTAGAGCCTTTGGAAACCACGAACAGTGGTTAAAAATGTAATATGAAATAAAAAAATCTGCATGAGAGGGCAAGGTTTTAGAATCAAGAACTGCATGTATTAATGATCTGAAAAAATTATGCAAAAAAGATAAGGCAGGCACAGGCAGGAAATTCAGCATGCTGTTGGGTGGGGATTATATGGTACAGACATCTGGAAATAAAAGATAATGTTATTTCCATTATAGACCAAATATTTCATCCTAATTAGATTTGCTACTTTGGTACATGGCATCTTAAAGCTATCTTAGATATCTTAGATATTATAGCCTGATAATAATTTCAGAAATCAGAATTGACAAGGGAGTTAAGAGAAAATAATACAGGCAAAACTTTTATGCCTTCATGATATTATATTTGAAAAGCTGACAGTTTTACTTTGTATTGCTTAATATAAATTCAAATATTTCATGGGTGAAAATTCAGAGGTATGAGCAACATACTAATTAAATGTGTCAATCTGTGTTTTATTTCAGATGATATCACTAGTATGATATGTGTTGGATCACAGCTCTGCCTTCCACAGAGAGGCAATTTTAGTAAAGAGCTTGCACCTTTGATCTGGGTAGAAGGTAACAGTAAAAATTTTAACTTTGAGAATTAGGGAAATGATTATTCGGGTAAGAAGCAGACTCAACACCATGTGATATTTATGTATACCTTAGCCTGAAAATACTCTAAATAATTTAGAATGGAGAAAGTGTTGTTAATTTTATCTTAAACATTACTGTTTATTGCTGCAAAGAAGTACAGTTTTTCAAATATTAATTTACTTATTTTTAGAAGCAGTCAAAATATCACAAGAACTACAAGTGAAATAGTCCAGGTTCTTAGGTGGTGCAGTTCTATGCAAATCTGTACAATTCTGTGCACCACTAACCTCACTGGTACTTTTATCTGTCCTGGCTTGCTTTCAGAAAAATAATTTTCTGACCCTAGAAGGTCTCTCCAATAACTGCTTTCTGATGTTCTGCATCCAAGTGGGGCAAATAATACAATATGTTGGAAACTTGTAGATGCAATTAAGAGGGGCCAGTAAATCATTAATTTTTTTGGCCATTGCTTTAGCAATCAAGGATTTTTATTAAGAGTTATGGATTTAATGTTGTTGTCCAGTTTCTGAATTGCAATGGAAAAAAATGAATAGTAAGGTACGACAACATATTTTGTTGATGATTCTATGTCTGAATTTTAGTGTTCTATACATACATTTGTAAAAAAGTGTAAGAAACTGTAAATTACCACCAAATAAATGTGATGAGATTAACAACCCAGATAATACCATGGTAACAGGCAGAAAAAATTATCTGTATTTTAATACAGTCAATATTTGCATTACATGTCTTTTAACTGAGGCTATGTACCTTTGAAGTTGACTTTGTTATTCAGATTGTGTATATTTAGTCATCTCAATATGCAAAATCAAACTACTTTATCTGATGGTACAGGTACTGGATCTGCATGTTCTGGACTACTCGTTGCTGGGATGCTTTCTACAGTACAGGCAGTGAAAATTGTGAAATATCTGCCCCATCAATACAGATCCTTGTTTGCTTTGACAAACTCAGTGGGAGTCAACAGTTCATTAAATACCACTTCTGAAACAGCAGAGGAGGTATTTCACTTCACATTTTGCTTGGAATAATTTATCCAAATTTTCTCAAGTATTAAGTAAAGTGTATTTTTAAAAATGTATTATAAAATAAATATATTTCCTATTTTAAAATTTAATTTGTATAATTCTGGATACAATGTTACAGATGCTGATTTCTAAATCAGACCTTTTTTTCCTCATTAGGAAGTTTTTGAGATGTGCTTTAAGAAGGGATGGATCAAAAGCTTCGTCATTATTCCTTTATGACTGTTTGCCCATAGGAATGCAGGTAGATTTTATGGTTCTCAGCAAAATAGCTGAAAATTCTGGAATTGTTGATCTTGTATTGCCATAGCTTTCCTAATTTTGTGCTTGTATCTCTTTCTCTTGCATACAGATGTATGCACATATATGTATCATGTAGATAGATAACTGTGGGCTGGAAGTTGTATTAAAAAAATCTGGAAATGTTATGAAATCCCATTATTTTTTGCCAATTTTGTTTTAATTTTATTCTGACCAACTCTAATACCATTTTTACCTTTCTCAAAGTACGGTCAGGATTACTTTCAGAACTTTAATATTGACTAATAATTACCTGAATGGCATCAGGTACCAAGTTCTGACCAAAGAATGAAACATGGAGATGTGACACAAGTAAAAGACCTAATTCTGAAGTCATCACATTGAAGACTATTAAGACCTGTGTGGCTGAGCTACCTGTGGGTTTGCTGGCAGATCTTCCTTAATTAGAAGCCAGGACACCAAACTGGTCACTTAAAAACCAAAACAGGTATCTCATTTGTTTTGGAAAGCTTTGCAGACCTTTTTGAGGGATATTTCTAAGCACAGTCTCCAGATCTGTGCTACTGCATGAAGTGAAATATTTAAAAGGAAATTGTTTTAAAGTTATTCTCATAATTCATCAATTTGCAATCTAAACATGGTCCAGTTATAGGATCCTTGAAACACTTCACAAAGAAGATGGAAAAGAAAGCACAACATGCCTTGCCATATGTCACAAACTGTTCTCGATCTTTAATTGTAATGTTAATGAATTTGGGAATGGAATAAAAAAGAAAAACAAGGGGAAAATACCCATCTTTGAGCTGGCTCTAGGGATAGTCTTAGCCTGTCATAGATGTGCTAGTGTTTCATAGAATTTATATTGGGTATTAAATGAAATATTGTGAGTAACACAGCTGTTTGACAAATTACTACTTTCCTCTTAAATGTTCAAATCTGAATAATACATGAAAATTCCCGAGTCTCTCCAAAATTCAACTTTAATATCTTTGCAGCTTCTTGAAAGAAAAGAGTTAGACAGCTCTGGCTGCTTTTAGTTCTGAGCAGCAACAGAGACAAAGAAGAAATGCAGGCATTGCTCTTTTCAGTCTGGAGGGGCACCTCAGGCACAACCTTGTGCTGCTCTTGGCTTAAGGACGTTCTGATGCTGTGTGTGGGCAGCTGCAGAGCACATTCCCAGGGCTTTAGGTCTGCCTGCTGCCCAGACAGAACAAGAAGATGCTACAGAACTTAAATACAGTTTCTTCTACACTCCTGTCTTTCCCAAAGGCCATCCAAGAGGGAAAAAAAAAAATTTCTACCTTTCTTTGTACTACCTTATTTTTTTCACAGCTTATCTGCAGTAGCATCTTGTTCAGGTGGGACAGACAATTGACACATTTTTTGAGCTAGGATAGATGGTATTCTCTTTCTGCATCAAAATCTGGATTTATGATGAAATTTTCTTTGTGGGAACAACATAAAGATTATTAATGATAAAGTCACAGAAATAAATTTTTTTATTAGAGGTCCTTGCTTCCTTTCTTGAATTCTTAAGGCTTAAATTTCAAACAATGTTTCCTACACTCGCTTCTATCACTATTTTCCTTCAGTGTGCACCTTTTGTGGCATCATTTGTTACAGACTTCTCTCTCCCTCTCTCTCTCTTTAAAACCATCCCTTCACTTTCCTCCTTTTTGTCTCCCAGATCATGAGTATCACAGTCCCTGGACAGGTTGCTGGGTTGACAGCTCTGAATATATTACACAACATATTTGTCTTTTCTAAAGCACTGATGCAAGCTTTGCCCTGACTTTTGCTGCAGTGAATTTTCCATACTGTTTGTCAGTGGTTTTTGTTACTACCACCACTGAATTTTTGACCTTGGATTCCACCCATTGTTCATAATTTTGAGAGCATGCATATCTCATAGCTGAAGAAATTATTATTCTCTGTTTTTTTTCTCTAATGCGTTGGTTTCCTTGGTACTTCTTATTTAGTAAAGAATATTACTTGAACTCATGAATGAGGAAGATTTCAGCACACATGCTAACAGAATATTCTGTCTGTGCATAAGTGAGTAAAAACCCAGCATAGTGAAACCCATGTTTTCAGTAATGATGTTTATAGGTAGCTCCGACATATGCAGTGGCTGTCTATATATAGAGACTGAACAGCACATTGAAATACCATGAAAAAATTGGGAGGTTTTGTCTCGCTGCATAAATAAGTACAGTAAATCCAGGCCAAGCACAAGCGATTTCTTGTCAAACGAGAATTAGTTCCTGTGAATACTATGAGAAGCCTGTAACTCACATTCATTATTCTCTAAATCTGTGATCATTTAATCAATAAATGGTAAAAACAATCTCAGAATATAAAATAAATTGCAGTGATTGAGGCTTGTGTGTATGCCTAGTAAGAATGTGGGCATCTGCACATACATGTATAGCAAGAAAACCTCTGCAGTTGTGACAGTATTAGCAATATTTTCCCCACAATTTGTCAAATAGCCAGAAATGGAATTGGGGAATGCAAAAGACTTAGTCTCATTAGAGTGCAAAAGTGTGAAATTCTTTCCAGTTGCATGTTCCAGTTGAACATAAGTGGCCGCAATCAAAATACTTCAAATTGCCAGAGTCAGCAGTGAATATCTTCAGTATTTAGAAAAATATCCTGAAAATACAATATATACTTGCTGTGTGTTGAAGACCTCTACGTGGAATTCCACTGACTCATGAGATCTCACCCATATAGCATAGATGTCAGGTAAGAGGATATAAGGGCATGGGAAAAAGAGTAGCCAGGCATCTCCTGAAAGGTTACAGCTATTGCTATTACAGTTCGTGTTGCACAGCAGATGACAATACAAGTTTTTATAGCTTAAGTATCTTACTCATTTGAATAACCAGTGAGTAATAACTGAATTGAAGGCTTGTCACTGAGATTTCTTCCTCTGCCTATCTTCCAATTAGAAGTACTAATTTTACTTATTTTATTCTAATGTTTAGAATTTAATTTATTGTTACCATTTCCATTACTGCCAAATGGCTTCAAAATGTTTTGCTACCATGAATATGTGTCAATGTTAATCAGAGTTCTTCAGTGCTTTGAATCCACAAACATACCTGATATGAAAAACAGCTACTGTTCTTATAAATGAGATATTCATAATAATTTCTTTGTTTGGAAATGACACTAATTCAACATTTGCTGTAGTAGTAAAACTATCTTAGGATACTATCAAGACAAGGCAGATGCTTTGATGGCATGAAAATAAAACTGGTTTGCACTTATCTACCAAAGTCCATTCTTAAGCTAAGACAAAATTAATCACTGCAGACAAGTACAAGCCTAAAGCATATCTTACTGTGTCAAAATTATGGTCACAAAATGACAAGCATTAATACAAAGATCTGTGGTGCAAAGTTGAAACAATGTTGTGATTAATTATACTGCCAGCAATACAAGGAAATAAACATTGACCAAGTGAGAGTACTTTCTAAAGGCAGACATCTCCATCTTGACTTGTCTTAGAAATGCCTGTTAGAAGCACTGTTGAAATGACACTTGATTTTTTATCAAACCAGTTTTATTCAGTTATCAGAGAGTAAATTAATAGGGGAGTAGTGGAGATACTGTGTTCACTGAAATTTTCCAGTAGAATTTTTAGATTGTTTGCCTACATATAATTTCTGGTTTTTCTGCACAACAGGCAGTTCAAAGCCAAGCTAGCTCAAATCAAATTGCAGGTGAAGTCTTCAGAGTTTCTAGAAGAAGATGTAGCTATTACTCAGAGTTCTGCCCAGCACACAGCCAGAGAATGGATGGTGATTCCTCTCTCCTGCAAATAGGCAGTAATTTATCCTAGCATCCACATGGGTAAGCTTAGTTGATTATGTCTCACCACTGAAAGTGAAAAATCCTGTACAGAATATGTGGGGGTTTTTAACTATGGTATGAGGATAGCAGAGGTAGAAAGTTACTGTTTTTCACAGGTTGTGTCTGTGCTCATTTTTCATCTCTATTCTTAATCTAAAATCCTTGGGTTTAATTAGTAAAGAATGATGAGAAAAAATACATCTAACCTGTCAAAAGGACACAAGGGAGAACTGATTTTGGAATTGATATTCATATATGATAGACATAGTTACTTTGGTAGAAACTACACATGATTGTGTATTAAAATGGATGAAAACAAATCCAGATTTAGTTATCTAAGAATTATAGTTGAATTAATACCTTTCAATCTTCCTTGGTTTTAGGAAATGAATGATTTAACCTTTTGGTTTTCTGATTTTGATGGTTCCAACTTCATACTTGTACAAAAGAGGATGATTCCCAAGGTGGGTGGGAAGAGGAATTTCCCTATTCTTTTCATTGCTTTGCTTAGGAAGGAAGACCACTGAATTGGTACGACCCTGATCATACTTTAGGGTAATCTCAGGAGAGCAATAAACTACATATCAGCTTTAGTTGCTCAGAAGGGACTACATGCCCCTATCATTCATATTTCACTTACAAAGCTGTAAGCTACAGTGCCATTATTTCTCTCTGCCTGGAGAAAAATGAACATTCTTACATGACCTGTCTTCTCTTCCCTTAATGAGGAAAAGAAGCAGTTATAGCTCCAGAGGTTTTTTGTTTTTTTTTTTTTTTTTTCCTATTACCAACAGCAAGGTCAGGGTTTAGATGTAACCACAATCAGTAAAACTGGTTAAGCACAAAAAGTGCTCAGATGCAAGAGATGAAGTCATCAAAAAGCCCAGTGAATTGGAGGGATAGGATTTGGTTCCCTAAATACGAGCAGCTACTGCCATTGGCTTTCCAGAAGGCTCTTCAGACATGCAGAAGGAGCTGGCAGGTGTGTGCAGGAGCTCTGGGAGCTGTAACAGGGGAGCAGTGCTGCCAGGGAGGGGTTCCTGGCCCTGCTGTGCTGGCAGCCTCTGCCTGGTGCAGTTCCCGTCCGGGGCACGGCTTCCCTGGCCCGGGGGACTGTGTGCTGGGATGCTCCCTGTCCTGCTGTCCCTCACTCCTCCTGTCCTGCTCCTGGCGTAATGGCACTTTGGGGAACACCCAGCTGCCACTTCAATCCTACCCAAAGGGCTGGCAGGGTGACCTTGCCTGCACAGCACCATTTTCTGCTTCATGTGCAACAACAGGATTTTCTTGGAACTTGATTTTCCCAATTACAAAACAGACCTGCAACGAGTATTGCTTTTATAGAGCACAGAACCACAGGAGAAAGTCTGGAAAACAAACCAAAGCAGGATCATGTGAAGGTGAGCAATTCAAACACGTGATTATGAATTATATAAAAGGTTGAATGTTCCTGCATCCTTGGCTGCTAAAGTGTTTGATTTGGAATAATGTTATGGACACAAAAGAATACAATGAATTTGTCTCTGTTTCAGAGAAAATAGTTTCAGAGAAACTAGTTTGGGTACAGAGAAAATAGTTTAGGTATTCTTCCCACTACAGTGAAGACTTTGAAAATTCATGGAATAGTCTCAAAACACTTGTTGCTTTATTTGGCAGCAAAACCAGGCAAGATAGCCACAACTGAAAATACTTCCCAATGATTTAGGAGATTAGAATAATTCCAATAAGTATTTTCCTAAATTTTGTTAGGGAAGGGGTAAAAGAGAGTGACAGAATATGTTGTTGATGGCTTCTGTTAATAACTACTGCTATTCTAAAGTTGTGATTTAAAATAATTTGAAAGTTGCAAATATTCTTCTCAGTACTTTGGCTGAAAGCTAATTGCATGGGAGCTTTTGAACAATTGGTAAAAAACCTATTGGAAATATATGTTATGATCAACTTCTAAACTGCATAAACCAGCATTTGTAATGGAAACACCAAAAATATTTCACTGCAGTGTAGCAATTATCAACGGTATTAAGGTGGGATGGGTATGTAACTAAATGGAAGTGTGACTTATCAGCTCTTTTACAGTGATCACAAGGAAAGGAAAGCCAAGTTTGTGTTTACATGTAATTATATATTCCTTCTGTGTGCATTTGCCAAAGGAAAGTTTAAGATATCAGGACAATGTTCTCCTACAGGAGACCAAAATACCAGTGTGCAAAGTTAATAGTGTAGAATCTCTCAGGAGATGAACATTTTGAATTAATGTTAACATTAGTTACAATGCAAAGGCAAAGGTAAAACATTTGCACAATTCCTACAACATGTATGAAGTGAAGGATGGGGTTTTTGTTCAAGTAACAATGCTGTGAATCAGGAGATCTTTCTGAATCAATCTACATTGATTTATTGTTTTGAGTGTGGATGAAATGCTGCAGAGTGCTTTTGCTGAGCCAGCTTTAGAATGGGGATAAAAGCACTTTCCTGTAAGTGTCGAAGCTATTCAGAGTAGAACTTCTTATTGCTAGTGAACAATGGGGAAGTTGATGCCAAGGAAAGTCCAATGAGTTGCCTGTGCAATCAAAAGGGGGGAATGATGCAGGTGCTGTGAATTCCTGCTCTATTTACTATATTGCACTGCTGATTAGATAAATGCAATAGCAGAGTTGATTATTGTTTCCAAGGGAGTTTGCTGACAGTCAGCTTTAAAAAGGTTTCTAAACTATGTAGTTTAAAAAAGGACTATGTAATCTTTTCCAATTGTCATATGTAATTGCATAAGATGATTAAATACTCTGACAATCTCAAATACCAATGTTGTGTATTATATCTCCTAATCTCACCTATCAGAACTTCATCTGCTTCATATTCATACATAAGACATAAGGTACACTGTAAAGATTTGAAAATCTTTTATCCACTCTGCTTCATCTGACCTATAAAAATATTACCTGTTATTATCTATTTTTGTATTACATTAAAATTAAAAAAAAATTAAGCAGGCAGATTTTTATATCCTAATTCCTGAGATATACCAGATGATAACATGCTCTCTTGTGAGAGGGATTTTAATTGGTGCAATGCTTTATTTTTCCACTCTTTTCATCAGAATACCAATAAGATGATTCAAACAGCTGGCATGTAGCACTCTGCAAAAATAAGAACGAATAAATTAATGTATCAAATAATTAAAGCTATTAGTTGCTTCATGCTAGTTTTCAACAATGATATTTATTGCTGCACACAGACTTGCTTTGGGTTATCATTGTGCATTTATCTTCATGACAGAGCAACCATTAGATGGGAAACCCCAGATAACACATCCTCTCTTTCCAACACATTCTTCTTCAGGCTTACCAGTTTTTTTTGCAGTGTTTTACAGGTGTAACCAATGTCATAGTTTTAGCCTGTGTTTTTTTATCTGAAAACATTTAAAAAACTGACTCATCACACAGTTCAACAAAAATGTCTGGAAGATGTTCATTATTACACACCAACCAATACAGCTGAAACAGGCATACAGGCAACCTGCAGATTTTTCACAGTATCAATATGCAGGCTACCACTAATAAGTTGTTAAAATGGTAAAATAATTATATTAGTCTTATTTAATCAATTTTAAAGTTTTGCTATAATGTAGAAAAAGATCTGAATAAACATAGACCTTAGAGAATAGGTGGCATGGTTTGTTTGGGATACTGTCTGAAAAGTTCTATCAGCATACAAACTAAAAATAATGTCTCTAACCATGGATATTGATATTGCTTACTATGACAAAGTGTTAAGATAATTCAGGATATTAAAAAGACCAGAGTTTTATTCTCATGACTGAGAGCTCTTTCCCTGTGAGCTTGATATGGTTCTAGCATTACTTTTGACATGCTGATTAATGTACTCATATTTCTGTTTATCAATTGTGATGCACAAAGGTGTTAAAATTTAATTATTAATGAAGACTGAAATAACCTGGGATCCTTGAGGAATAGAGAACTGCCAAATGTGATTTCACATCAAAGTACTTTATTTTGTTTAAAATTATTTTCTCCAATTTTTAATTTGTCAAGTTATGCCAGAGTTGAAAAATACCAATACATCCATTAATTGTGATGTAATAAATTACTGTAGATAGTGTGTTAGATATTTCTAAAGATATATTGTATCAGTAGCTTTAAATCTAATGATGAAAAGAAGTAGTTGCGTTACTTAAAAAGGTCTTCCACCTGCACTTAAGACTGAGAAACCAAGACCTTGGTTATTTTCTCCTGCTTCTGAGAGGCTGTGTGTGTAGCAATGTCACAAACCTCTGGTTTGGAAAAGGAAGGGTCACACAAGAAACACTAAATTTTTATGAAAATGTACTTTTAGAATGCACTTTTAAAACATAATGTCTGACTGTATTTCTTTTAGAACTCTTAGTGAAAAAGGAGACTGATTTCTGCACAACAGAACTGGGATGATGATTAATCTGTATTTCCTGGCAAGTTTATTTCATTGGGTCCCGTCCTGTCATCTGCCCCAGAGAACCCTCTCCATGACATATGAGCTCCCACAGGTCTTATCACGTTTGTCCTTCTCTTCCAGCAGCCTCAGCAGTGATGGCAGTGGAAATCTGGCTGATCAGATCCCAGCTCCCTGAGAACTCTCTATTCCTTGACATCAACCCCAAGGGCAAGAGGCTATTTGTGACATGCCTGTACTGCTGGCTGTGTGTGCTAGTGGGGGACAAGGAAAGGCTCTCCTTCCAGGCAGGATGAGTTTCTGTAGGCCTGGAGCCTTGTGAGGGATCAGCACTGGGGGTAAACAGCAATGGAGCTCCTCCTGCTCCATGGAGCCTCAAGGCAAGCAGGGCTGGCAAGCATGGCCAGCCAGCAGAGTGCCTGCTCAGGTTTCAAACACAGCCCCAGAGTGTAGTGAGGGTATGACAGGCGTGTGAAAGGCAAAGGGTTTGTGCTGTGAGACAGCATTTCTGAAGTGGCAGCATGGCAGATCCGAGTGGGATGCTGGTTTCTGAAGACTGCCAGCAGCTACGGAATGAGTAGCTGTTTAGCTAAAACAGCAGGAGGAGTGCTAAAGGGAGGTAGTTGGAACTGGAACAGTGCTGGAGAAGGGTTTGGGCTAAAGCCAGGGCGGGTAGGAGTAGGTGAGGGAGGTGCTCAACACATCTTAGCTGGCTCAGTGTTTTGTATTTGCAAAACACTCAGGGTCCTTCTAATGGTGCAGTGCAGCGTGGGCTGCACTGTCATCACTAAGTTGTCATGTTGCCACTGAATAAAAGATATAACTGGAGTCCACTTCTCTAAGTCTCTGCACTTTGTTTTAAATCAGTAATGGTTTAGCATGAACTAGCAAAGCTCTCAGGTCATTGCAGAAAAATTATTGCAGTATATGGCTTTATTTTGACAGGTGGTGTAAATCTCGACCCACATTTTCATACCTTTGCAGAAGTCATGCAGTGTGCGTGCCACCTTTCATATTTTTCTCCAGTTGTGTACCAAAGGGCACGTGTGCAGACGTAATTAGAAGCATTTCAAAGCATCCAGCTAAAGTTTTGAGATGTTTGTGTTGCAGTATGCTGTTGTAAACTGTCTCTAAGATATGTGGAATAGGATGCTCTTTCTGAGAATGGAAGCCTCCTTGCAGAGAGCTGTGCTTTGCTGCATAATGTCAAGATAATGGAGATTATTTAAGCATGCTATACTTGCCCTCAAGATGAATTTCCTTGCAAGCCCCAGTTTAAATCTCATTGTGGGATTCTCCTGTTCCTGAAATCAGTAGGAAGTAAGTTAGGTTTTGAATTTTGTCAGAGTAACTTGTCTGCCTTTGATGCTAGTCACTGCTTATTGCCTCATGATCAAAATGCAGCTTCAGCTCTTTAAAGGAACACCTACATGTGATGAAACTGTTCACACTCATTGGAAATGAAATCCTAAATTCTTCAAGGTAAGAGTCCTATTTCAAGGATCCTTTGGCTTAAAAAGCAAGTTGAATTCCCATTTAAAATATGTGTACCATTCAGAGCTCAGTGGTGCAGCATCTCATTAACAAAACACCCATTCTGAAGGGCAAGAATAGATCCTTGTTTCAAAAGGAAAAGGTTTCAGATTTAAGCAGGAAAGAGAATAAGAACAGGAGCTAGTGTTGGATACTGGTTCCGTGAATACTGGAACAATGTTTTGGGTTATCCTTAGAAAGATTTGTAAATCTGGAAAATACAGATAAATGTCTAAAAAGTGTAAAAATTTTGGAAAACTATTCCACTCAGTCTCTAGAAATGGAATAAAGTGGGTAAATTGATCTACAGACAAGTGCAAATCAAAATATTGGCTCTAGATTCAGCTAGTGGCACCAGTGCAGTTATTACTACATGGCCTTCCATGTCCCTCTGAACACAAAGGCAGAAAAATCATTGGCAAGAAGAAAAAAGCAGATCAAGAAGTACCTGTCCAAGATGTAGTTATAAAAATACAACATAATTTTGGGTATAACACTTTAATCGTCCTGAATCTCAGCTGCCTATTGACATCAGTGATGTTAATGAATACAGTCCCTTTAATATAATTATTTCAAGTTGATTTCAGATACAAGTATTCTTCTATAGAAAGTAATTACCAACAACTGAATTGCAATCAAACTCTTCTCCCTTCTCTGTAACATCTTTAAACTTCCAGTACTGTCACTTCTCACCTGATGATTACAGGTAACAATTTTATTAACAATTTAATTATTCTCTTTAGAAGCCAAGGTAATTACAAGGAGCTTGTTTTCTACCAGAAGTCTTTTTAAATGATTTTACCATTGACTGTAGCCCAACATTAGAGAAGGATAGGCCATAATCAACAAAACCATATCTCAAAATTATGCAGAGTTGGGAGAAATCGAAAGAGCAATGCTGCTAATATTTTACTGAACATCATGGTACTTTTGTGTGGCTATGAGTGCCCTCTAAATTTATCCTGTAAATCCTGTAAGGCTCTATTCACTTTCACAGTGAATTTGTGCTATAAAAGGTGGTAGTCAAAGATCTGACAAAAAGCCGGACTGACATTTATGAGATCAAGCTTTTGTTCCTGATTTTATCATACCCATGTTCCTTCTCAAAATCTTTCCTTGCATGCTTAACCTGAAGAGGAATTTGAAATAGCTGGAAGGGCTGGTCCATGTCTCAGGTGTATGGATCTGGGAGAAGATGATCGTGCAGATACTTATTAGAGAGAAATGCAAGGAAAAGCTAAAGGGGCAGAATGTTTGCAGGTGATTTGGTGAGCTGGTTGTATTTGAGATGCCGAGTAAAGTGAGTATTAAAAAAAAAATCCAACAAACCTATTTAAAAGGATACTCATACAAATGACATAATTAGCAACAGATTAAAAAAAAAACTTTTTAAGAAAATACATTTACAAAGGGTAAAGAAAAATGGTGCAGTTGTGATGAAGAAAAAAAGAAAAGAGTACACATTCTCACAACTGAGCTGTAAGAACAGGTTAAAGTACCAAGGTAGGCCAAAAATGATTGAGCAACTTAGTAAAGTCATAAAAATTAGCCATTAACTTTTTTTTTTCCTAAACACCGGAGAAGCCAGGCCTTCTAGGAAGGCTGTATGGCAAATAAATGCTTTATAAGGTAGGGAAGGGAAACATCCATTAACTATGGAAGAGCTTTGGGAGGTAACCAGACTCCTGCCTGTGGGGATGGAGGTGTGTCTGAAAGGTTATCTAAACCGTTATTTAAAAATGGGAGTCTGTTGCATCAGATCACCAGAAACAAATATTACTGGTCCAAGAATTAAAAAAAAATGCAGAAACAACATTTTCACTGCTACTTGTGATTTTTCTAATTTAATTTCTTTCTAATTTAATTTCTAATTTAATTTTTCTGATTGTAAGGATGTGCTTGATTAACTACAAAAAAAGACCTGTGGGAGGTGTGATTTTTTATGAAGATTTTCAAGAAGATGGCAAGGAACTAGAGACTGGCAATTAGAACTTCTGCAGCAGGCAAGTTAATGGAAAATGTGATGAAGAACAGAATTAACAGGTGAGTGAACATGATGAGTATGAAAGAGAAATAATAAGTTACAAACCTAGTAAAAGATTTTTTAAGGAATCAGGTAAGGGTATGGATGCAAAAGATCAGGTTGACAATGTATCTTACTCTACAAATAGTATTTTCCAAGATGCCTCATCAAGGATCTTTTTTTTCCCCCATTCTTTTAATTGATTTTTGTTTCTTTATGGAATAATTATAGCTTGAATAATAAGAAGCAAGGTAAGAATAGATGTCAGGAACTACTAATCAGTCTTATGAGGACTTATACATATGGAATTCTGCTAGAAAAGTGAGCGAAGCATGGTGTAATACATTTGCTTAGACTACAAAGGTGTGTGGCTATAAAGGCCTTCAGAAGAATTTCTGAGGTGTGGGTGGCAGAAATTAAGTGTTCAAGAGTAACAGATACTTGGCTTTACCATTCAGAAAAGGCACACTAAGATTAGTTCAGGGTGTTTTATTGAAAATTTTGACTTAATGCTCTTCATCAGTTAGAAAGGCAAATAGATAATTGAATTTTTCAAGACAGGAAAAAGAATGAAGGGGAAACACCACAATGTCACTATATAGCTTCATTATGTGCCCATATCTTGAACACTTCATACAGCCCTGATATTGAAAAGATATATATATATATATATATATATATATATATGTAGTATTACTATAAAAGGTAGAATGAAAAGCTGTCACACATATAAGCAGGCCATATAAAAGGAGAGATTAAATAGATTATGTTTCTTCAGTGTAAGAAAGGGAAAACAGATTGATGGAAAATAAAATATATGTCTTTAAAATCACAGATGTTATGGAAAAGGTGAATTGTAAATGATTATTCATTTATTCTTCCTCTTAAGAACCAGGAAGGAACAACCAACCAGCTAAACAAAGTATAATTATCATTATTATTATGATTAGTAGTAGTAGTGGTGGTGGTGGTGGTGGTGTTGTGAACTTGTGCCCAGAACATTTGGATAACAAAATTATGATGTCTGAAGAAGTTATTAGGCAAATTAGTGGCTGAAGGACTCACTGAGACCAATTAAATATGACGATAGTGATAGTTCTTTGGCTGAGAAAATCTGTAAGCTTCACCTTCCAGCAGCTGGATGCCTCTGCTGCCTGAAGCTCATCCAGCCTGCAACTGTCACACAGAGGGCACTGGTCCAGCTCAGAACAGCTTTACTTTCTGTTTTGAGGTGTTCCATTGCCTACAAGCATGCAAGCATAAAGATAAACACATGACTCACGGGAGTGAAAGGTTTTGAAGACCAGCTCTTAAATGAGCCAGTTAAAATGGTCAGAAAATAGGGTGAAATGGGAACTGGGAAATGTAAAAGGGCACTTCTGTTAAGTGTTTTAGTTAAGAGCTAAGATCTTGAAAGGTCTTGATTATATTCAGATTTTTTTCCTGAAGTACTCAATTTATTGATACTAAGTAATAATTCCCTTAGTTTGTGTAAATTTCCTTAAAACCTTCAGTCTGAAATTTTTTTACCCCAGCTCTACAGATTAATAACAAACATTGTCAGTTAATCAAGACATCCACAATATTTTGAACATGTATATGAAACAGTAGTAGTATGTAAAAAATGTCTTGAATTCCTTATCTGTTAGCTACTACAATACTCAGCTCTGTCGAAGTACAAATCTGACATTAGAAAAGCTGATTACTTCAGGATTACATCTATTCAGCATGTTTAAATTCAGAGCAGAAACACACCTTAACATCAGGGGTGCCCCTGTGCCTATAGTAACTCTGAAATTAATCAGAAGTGTGAGCTAGTATTTTAAAATTTAAATTTACAGTGGACAAAATCATAGTATACCTACATCAATGGCATCCATTTATTCATGTGTAATTAAAAGTCATTTTTTAACTTTAATACCACTGGGGGAACTTTACTTCTCTTAGTGGGGGCTGTCAGCACTTTGCAAGTTAAAGCCCATCAGCTCCTTCTAAAGGAAACTTTGGTTTCCATAGTTGTGTCTGCAGATGTGTAAAGGAAGTTAAAACAACAGCTACTGAAGCCTTGACAATCAGCACGTGCTGGTGCCAGCAATGCCATCAGTTGCATCAGTGCCAAGATAGGAAACCTTGGCGATCTTTATTTGCCTCAGGTCAGTAATTTTTATCTGCAGTTAAGTAGGATGGAGATTACTTTACTTCTAAATGGTCCTTTTAAGTCCCCTTCATAAAAATGCCCCATTTGGGTGTGTCTGTGCTGCTACTGATGTCTTTATTCTGTCCTCATTAAAAGGCAGTGAGCAGGCAAATTATACAGAATCTATGGCCACTGAGCAGGCTTAAAAGGAAAGTGTGACAGATTTTTCAGAGGAAAAGAAATCCTGCTCATCATTGTTCAAATGAACATTTAATAATTCATAACAAATGAGTTATAAGTTTCCCCTTCAATACGTTTCCAAATGTGAATAGATTAAGTAGTAATTGCTATCAAGCTTTATGTTCTATTTCATGTACCTAATAAAAGTTTATCTAGTGGAGCTTGCTTTGTATCTTTTTGATCTATTCCTAACTGACTGCAATATCCTCTATTAAAATATTTATCATTGTGCTATCAAATATTAACCATTTTAAAATCATCCGACTGAAGAAAACAAATAATGTTAGTTGCTTAAGTTTTCATGAATTTCCTGATATTTAGTTGTTCAGAACTCCCCCCTGATATAGCACTAAAAATACACAAGATGCTACAAATTGTATTCACTTTCTTTGAATTGGGCTGTTTTGGAAATGCACTTTGCTCATATCCATCACCAGTGTCCAATTTGGCTCTCCATTCAGAATCCTAGTTTTGTTGTCTGAGAAATTATGATTCTGCTTCAGTACAAGAGAGTATTAGAGAGTTCTTGATTTTTCTATAGGTTAGTGGATTTTAAAACTCTTTTAGGAGAGTACAGAATGTTGGGGTTTTTTTTAAGAGTAACATTTTTAAGTCATTTCCCTAATTATCCACCTGCTGATCCTTCTGAAATTCTGTGGCTTTGTCAGGTAAAAATACTGGCAAGTTCTGGAGTGTAGAAAGATCCAGTGATGGGGAGTGATGCCCAGCCCAGCCTGACTGGCTGCCAGACTTCCATCCCTCCCCAGCTGAGTGGGTTATGCTCTCCCAGGGTGCTCCTGCTTGTTCAACCAGTGGATGATTCATATCACAGAACTAACATAGCAAAAAATGATTCTTTTTTGGTTAGTGTCCTGCTGAGTTAGATCTGAAATCATTCAGTGAAAGGTCAAACAACTGCCTGAGAGATTGCTAGGGGTGTGGGACTAAATAGTGGGGAATTGGGAGAAGAGGGATTGCAGCACTTGCAATTAGAGCAGTTTGGACAGCCATGAAATAGCAGCTTTGAAGCTGACACTTGGGCAAGATCAAGAAGAGAACAACCTCTTTGCTCCAATCCAATCCCTCACCTTGCTGGGGAAAAATTGTTCTGTTAAAGGTCAGGTGTATAAATGTTGCTACTGAACCATTTCTTTTTGCTTTGGAGAAAGCAATTCCTGATCACCAGGTTATCAGAGTAAATCTCCTGAAGAGCTGCAGTCTGTCAGGAGCTGGTGCCTCTCAATAACATGGCAACTATGCAAACTAGTCCCCTCTTTTGAGCCTCACTCTCTGCTTGATTTTATTTACCTGATATTTTCTTTGACTTCTCCACACACAGGTATTACCTAATTCACAACCTCATCCAGCACAGAGACATCGAGATAAAGTCCTTGAGCTCTCCCCAGTACCCCTCTAATCTATTGCATCTGCAGATTCTTCCATTTCCACAATATCCCACACACTTTGTAGGCAGCAGTGCTAAAAGAAGATTAAGGCATGGTCTCCATCCTAGGCATGCTACAGGAATTATGCAGATCTGTATAACTCTCTCAGAGCATCTTATGTTTTCACCTCCTCTGTGCTCTTCGTAGAGGAGAGGTGCCTCACTTAATCATTTCTGTTCATATACAGTGTTTGTGTTCTGACATGTTTACTCTGACTAAAATACATTCTCCCCAGAGAGAGATCAACCTTCCTTTTCTCCTTCAAATCTAGCATCTCATTAAAAAATAATAACATTCCATGATATTCATACTTTGGTGAACAACTTTCTATGTATCCTAGTATCTCTGATTATTCTGTGGGTTGTGTATTTTGCAAGGAATGCATTAATAAGCACATTTGCATTGTTGTTTCTCAGGTTTAAAAGACCCTTGTTTTAAAAGGATATCAGGATGGCATTACACCTATAAGTCACCAGCATGCTTCCCCTGAGGCAAGCAGAACTAGTGTTTTGCATCATCTGAGGATCAGGTCTGATAAAGCTGTAATTTTGTTTGTATTCTTGCCTTGCTTGTCTTACATCTGTAAACCATACTTTGCTGTGAGTTGCAGCATTTGGATTCTGGACTAATGTAAAGAGAATTATTATTCTGGATTTAAATTTGCAGCCATTTGAAGGAGAGTCTGTTCCTCTTGCATCCAAACCCCTGTACACACCCACAATTTCTTTAGTCTGCATAACAACCATGCAAAATAGGTATTTTGAAAGCAGTATTTTGTGTATAAAGACCAGGGAAAGATGACTGTTCCCTGAGGACAATAATGCTCAGCCCCAGCAGAACTTTATCCTTTTCAATAAATTCTTTTTGTATTTTACTTCCCTTCAGCTCCAAGTGTGGCAGTGTGCTTACTAATACCGGCCTTGGCACCAAACCACAGCAGAACTGAAAGTATATACAGCACAGTACAGCATTAAAACTGCTATTTGTAAAAAGATACAAAAATAGGTAGGTGGATCTTCTATGGCTCCCAACACAGGCAGTTGCAATGGTGAATTGGAAAACAGGGCACCTTGATTCTGCATTTCTATTTTTTTTAATTTTTTTTTTTTAATTTTTTTTTTTTTTTTTTTCTTTTTTTTTTTTTTTTTTTTTTTTTTTTTTTTTTTTTTTTTTTTTTTTGTATCCTGGACATGAGTTCAATGTGTAGGTATTAGATACATCTGTGTACAAATGTGTAAAATATCACCAACCTTCACTGGGGAGACCCTTGCATTTATAGGTATTTAATCTGTCTAGAAAGAAGTGCAGGGTGTATTTTTTAAAAAAAAATATTTTAAAAGAATTAGATGATAAATGTTTTTTTCCTCTTTTCTTGCTGAACGGTAAATCCAATCTTCCAAAAGCAAGTGTTAATATTAAATTCCAAGTTTACAGTTTCAAGTTTGATTTTTCTTTAGCCACTCCATCTGCATGATTTTGATCAAATGCTCCAGTTTCTAACATTTGTAACACATGATAAAATCCACCCCAAAAAAGCTCATATTTAAATAATCATATAATAAATTAAATGCATGCTGTGACAGAATATGAATTATCTGACAGGCTGCAGAATAATACAAGTTTAGTTTGGAAGACAGATACAAGCACTGAGTCCAATTTGAGCACTGAAGATAAGAGTGCAATCCTTTGCCTGCTTCTGTTTAAATGAACGAGAAAGGGTAAAATGAGATAGATTGTTCCGACCTTGATATAAGGCATCTGGCTGAAAACTCATTTGCTAATTGTTTAAGATTAGCACCATTGAACCAAGATAATTTAAAACACTGATTTGCTATGTGGTGCCAGCTACCACTGGTAACTCTCGCTCACTCTAGGCCTTTGTAGTGCTGTGGGTTCAGTGTGTTTACTTGGTTTTTGTATGAAGGGAGATAGAGAATAATATTGGTCACTGAACCTTCCCTCACCTTTTCCCCCATGAGGAACATGCCTAATGAAAATTTGAGCTGTGCTGCCAAACTGATATTGGCAAAAGATCTTTTCTTTGCCTGATTGGATAAATATGCATCTGGTTTTGTAATCAATGCTTCTGTGAGTGAAGTTAAAAGATGTTACTTTAAAATGCTGCTGTATGTATGCAATGGTCTTCAGTCACCTGAAAAGTCATGGCAAAGAAATGCAGAAGATGAAGAGCAAATACAGAAGACTGTGAGCAGTACAAGTAGAAAATCAAGTGAATGCTCCCACTTAATATTTTAGCTGTGTTTAAATGTTTTTGCCTTTTGATACAGGTTCCATTTTTTAAAAAACACTATGTTCAGTTAAAAACTGGCCCAAATCAATGGTACTTGCAGGTTAAATTTCTTGCCAGACTTGGAGCTTTTAGTTCTGTTTTAATATTAATTTTTAAAGGAAATTGTTCCGTTTCTATAAAATAGAAAAATCAAATATATGCTATGCTATGTAATTTCTCATGTTCCAGAAATTCGAAAGGGTTTCAGGACCACACTGTTCTGTTCTGCACTCATTCCCCGTGCTTTGCTCCTGGTGAGAAAATCCACGGTGGGTATGTGGCAGGGAGGCCCCGCTGAGCCCAGCACGTTCCCCGCACGCCCACGCCTGCGGCCGCAGGGCTTTTGGGGAGGGCTCAGGAGCTGTGCCAGGCACAGCCACATCTATTGTGCCTCTTCTTCTGAGGGCAGCAACCTTCCTGTACCAACCAGACCCTGCTGACCACTATGTCTCTGCATGCAAGAAGATAACTGCTGCTATCACAGTGCTTTTTATCTGGGAGGCAAAGTCTAAAATTGCATCTGACCTCAGTGTGCGCAGAGACGCCAAGCGAGGAGCGCTCTGCCTGGATCCTCAGAGGGTTTAGATTAAATCACTAAGAGTGAGGTACCTAAATAAATAGTTCTGAGGATAATAGCTTCTGTGACTTCTACTTTGTATGATACAAAGTAGACTCCAAACTGTAATTTATCAAATGATATATTGCAGGCCTTAGAACACACAACTCGGCTTTTGTGTTGTTTTTTTCCCTAATAGGCTTACTAATGTATAAAATTATGACACTCCATTTACTTATAGAATCATACATGTAATTAAACTACCTATGATATAGATTTAAATTGTTTATTCACAGTCAAGCTTTTGTTTGCACTAGATCAATGGTTTTTAGCAATAAAGCTCCATAAGAATAGAATTTCTTAATGCCGATAGCCTATGTATAACAAAAAGTAAACAAGCACATACTGGTCTGTCGAGTGAGTGTGTGTATCCATCTTTGCATATCATTGTTCCTGTGCAGCACAGGCTTAGGGAAAAGCAGATCAAAACCACATGCTACGTGTCCAGACAAATAATCTTTTTGAGCTTTGCCAAGGCAACAGAATGAGTTCCTATTTTTCTCGTATATTGGGGTCTGCTAACTTGCTCGGTCATTTGTTTAGAATTTGATGGGAAAATAAGAAAGCTAAAACTGACACTGTACAAAATTAAATTAATTGGAATTCTGTTCCTCCATGATAAGGCTTGAAATGAGATTTAAATCAGCGTGTGGTTGGTAAAACATGACAATTTGATGTCTGTTCCATAAAACTGACAACCGCATCTAGTTGTTTTTCTTCTGAAATTGATCAGATAATTTGTTCAAACTTGGAGAATATCTGACAGTTACACAATCAGACTGAGATTTGTTCTGAAAATTACAACCAAGTGAGGGAAACTCAATTAGTTTCGTCAGCAAATATAAAGGCACTAGCTTGCAATTCCAGCAACTGTCCAAAGATTTTACAAATACTCTTGATTCAGCTAAAATCAAGCTAATTATATGCTGGGCTCAAAAACCTCATCATTAAAAGAACATTATTTTCCTTACAATGTCCAAACCTGAAAAGATAGGAAGTACTGAAATTAATAAGTAATTGCTTTGACAAACTGATGTATATATATTACTATAAAATTTTTTCAACAGTCCTCCAGACTTGTTCAGTATCTCAGCTACTTAATATATTTTTTAAACCCCCTGGGTGGGCACAGTGGTAAGTTTCATTTTTTCAAATTCCATGCAGAGAACCATACTGATTTCTGTTTTCATTTTTTTCCCTTGTAGTTTGGGTCACTGCAATATATCCAATGCTTCACAAATTCCAGTAGTTATTTTGCCAGTATCTAGGATAAGGTACAGGGTGGTAACAACCTTCTTCTGCATATGGGGTGCAAGGCAGAGGGAGACCTCTTATTTCTGAGTGTGTTGTTTGGGAGGGAACTAGGATCTGATTTGATGAAGAATTAGAGACCTTTGAAACTTGAAACATTACTTCACCTGCTTTCTGTTGTAATTCTAACTGCCTGTTAGTTTTGTGAATCCTAACTCAACTAGAATCAGCTGGAAAATGAGAATACAGTCAACAACCACATGTGAAAAGTATGGTTTGGTTTAAATGCCATGCCAAATACAAACAGGAGCTTGCTGGTAGAAGCTGAGGAAGTCCAGTTTTCTCAGGTTGCACTGAACAATGTTGCCCATACAAGCTTCTTTTCTTTTCATATACTATCTTTAATGCTGTTTGGATAATTATCACAATATTTCCTGAAATTATTTATTGGTTTACTTTGCAGATATAATTTGTTGATTTGTCACAAGTCCAGCTTTTCTGCTTCAGAGGCACTCATCACTTGGAGAGGCAGCAGTAATCTCTAGTATTATTGCCTTTTTTTAAAAAAAATTAATATATAAGATTTACATTTGGTTTTGAATATTTAGAGCATTTGTATGGCTATTGACCAATTTTATTATATTTGTCTAATTGGTGTCTGTATTTACTGACAGTAATTACTAATTGGTGTCAGTAGTTATTTTCTTGTGTTTCTCAGTCTTAAGAATCAAAAGCAAGCTCTTGTAGAAATCTATCTTTTATGTTTGTGTGGCTAAAAATACAGAGATGTGGTGAGAGAAGCTGAAAGAAAAATGTGAGAGGACTTTCCAGAGGTTCTGGAAGTAGATTATCAAAACTGTTAAAAGAAAAAATCTTACAAACAAAATTTGCAGTAAAAGTCTAATTCTGTGTATATTGAAGTGATATTTCTACTCACTTGTATACAAGTCCCATTAACCAGAAGAAAAGCAAAATAATAACTAAGCATTGAAACAACGTGTGTTCAAACACCATTTAAGGAAAATTTCAGCTCTTATTTGTAAGGACGTTAAGTATATTTCCATTTTTTCCCAACAATTAGCTTTCATCTAGCTTTCACTAGTTATTACAGGTACAAGCCAGCGTTTTGCAGTTATTGTCCAGGGATAGCCTAAGGGTATGAAGGCATAATTAACTTAGTCAAGAAGCTGCAGTTAGGACAGAAAAAGAGTGAACACGCAGAGAAATCACCTTCTTTCTTTTAGTAGGAATTCTGAATTTGGAAGCAATATGCTGATGTTTGAGTATACAAAACATCACATTTGCCCAGACGTGTATTTACCTATGCCAGCGGGAGTTCCTCTGGGTGTTAGTGGGAGAGAGGGAGGACACTGCAAGTGCATTGAATTAACTGGATGGCACAGTCAGTGCCCTCGGCTGGGAGTCTCCCAAGGTTCAGGCATTATGGCATGGTACAGCCCAGAGCTTTCTGCTCCCAGGAATGGGCACATGACAGCACATGGACGGGAGGCAGCGGAGCTGCAGGAGAGGGGCGACTCTCAGAGTTACTTACGTTGACAGCCCAAGCTGTGCCAGATATATCCCGGCAGACATTTATCACATTTAGGCCCTGAAGTTCCCTCCTTACACTCACAAAATCCTCTGTCATTACAGCGATCATGGACTGAACCAAAAGGGTTACAATAACAGTCTGCAGAAACAAGACAACACATACACACTGGATTCAGGTCCACATGTGGAGATAATTCATTCAATACCAATAAAGGGTGCATTTCCAGTGCTAAAGGTAAAGGAAGACTGTCTATTAAGAATATCTAGTGTAGTGAATATAATTACTACATGTCCATTTATTTGTTTGCACGTGTCATTTCAGGAAGAGACGTTTTATGATGCAAAGAGAAAAAGTAAACAGGAAAGATATAAAGGCAGAAGATATCACGGTCTTGAGGGTAAGTGATTATAATAGATTCTCTTTGGTGAGAATATTTTTGACAATTTAATGAACATTAGAAAAGCTTTGTATAGTATGGATATATCCATGTGCCATCAGGGTGAAATGTTTTGTTTTATTAAAATAGGCTTTATCTGTATTACTGAATATTTTCAGAAGTGCTAGATGTCTTTACAGGGCTATATAAATGCACTTTACTTATTTCCAAGATAGTCTTCCTTTATAGGTTTGAGCAGTACAATAATTTAAGTGAATATTTGCCATTAAATTGATGAGATTGATTTATCAGTGACATTAATAAACCTTTTGCATATTCTGCAATGCAAAGCTTGAGGTGAGCACTAATGTAATGTAAAAGCTTTAAGAACGGGCTTTGTGCAGCCATTTTAATTTCTCTCACCTCCCAGCATGCAGATGGGAAATGCAGTGAGGCTCATTCCCCGCTGTATATTTTTCACATGTGTTCAGCTAATTAAAGAAAAAGTAGGGTAACACATTTCCTCCCACAACACTTACTGTGCTGTTCATTCACAGCCCTTTTCTTTAATATGATTACAATATCTGTGTTCAGCTTTCAGCCATCTGAACAAAGGCAAGGAGCTCACAGAGCTCATTTTTGGCATTCCTGTATTTCACCTTGGTTATTCAGATTTTATGTTCAAATGGAGAGTTATCTTATTTTTATGTGGACCCATGTAGACCCAGAGTAACTACACTGTTAACTGAAACCACAGACTCCTTTTGGAAGCATCTGATCTCTGCTGCTTCCTAATTTGGGGCAACCTACTGGGAGTGTAGATTTATATGTTTGTGCATCAGTACTACTTTGATCACTATATCTAGCAATTGTTCCCTAGCATTAGGTTGAACCTCAGTGGTACCATAAATGAAAAAATGGGAGTTGAACTGGGAGGTTACATACATATACATCTCCAATGAAAAAAACGAACAGGAAAAAAATTAGCAGAAAGACATTTCTCATCTGTTGTCTCACTGTTTATTAAGTATAAATTACAGATGGCACTTTGAACATTTGGGATGTTGAAGAAGAGTGGTTACCTTTGGCAAAAGGGTTCCACAACAATAACAGAGTCAATTAGCTGGCAACATTCATTAATGAAGCAGAAAACTGTCAGGCCAAAAATACTGTTCAAGGCTGAGTATTATAGCAAAGTGAGTGCCATTTGAAAAGCTGGGAATTCTGATGTTAATCAGATATATAAAATGTTTATGTAAACAGACATAGACTTGAGATACATTCTGAATGCAAGAAGTAAAATTTGCTTCAAGTGTGTTTATAGAAAACCTTGAAAAACAAAAGCTTGGAATTACATTAAAAACAGAGGGTCTAATTCGTGTTAAAAATAGCTTTGTTAGAGATAATGAAGTTACAGTGATTTAAACAAATATTTGTGAAAGAAATGTGTAGCCTGTGATACTGGATGTTATATTTTCCACAGAACAAGACCCTGAACCAGTGAAAGCTTTCCTACTGAACTCTATCACATAAACATGTAGGAAGTTCCAGGCCCATATCGTGCTATTGAAGTGAAAGTAAATAGTAGAAACAAATATTTAAGCCAGGCCTTTTGCAATATTAGTAGATCCAATCAGAACACCCAACAGACTAATTCTAGCTTCCATCTTTCCCAAGTGATACCACAGTAATATAACCTACAGAACATTCAAGATCATCGTCCAACACAGTATCACATGCTGTGGAACACTGCCCAAGGCCTGCCAAATACTTAAGATGTTAGAAATCTCAAAGGTCACGATTTTCAGTGTGCCACAGGGAGGCAGTGTATCTCCAATGCCCTTACAACAACAGGGCACTAAATGACACTAACATTCCCAGATCATCCTAATAAGCAAACCATAAGTACATTCCAGAGTGGGGAAAAAAGCCCCTGCAGATCTGAACTGAGAAAGAATTTTCATCCTAACCCTCATCTGGTAACTATTTGTAAGGACAGGAAGACAACAGAAATGGTAATCTGTTCACTGGGGTTCACTCTATCAATGTGATGCTTCAAACAAAACACAATGAGTGTAAATAAAAAGGAGGTGGGGAAATGGGCTGAGGCTTGCAGGCTTGCTGCTTATTAGTCTGGGCTGACAGTGGCTCTAGGACAACCCCCAGGGTTAACTTAACCACGTGTCTTTAGAGCTTCTGGTGTTAACTGAAGCTTAAGCCTGACTGACTGCAAGGGTGGCTTTGTTACAAGTGTGACAGCAATCACCAGTTCAGTATTTATGCTGTGAGGCAAAGGCTATGTTTTATTACTCTGGGTCTACCTGGTGGTTTCCATGCTATCCTTGCTTGTCAGTGTGTGCATTCACTGAAAGTCACTCAGGCTTTATAAACAAATAAAAACTCTTCAAGTTAAATTATTTTTCACACTGAATGAATAATTTTTAACTTCTGAATACTTTGATTTATTCTGAAACTGCAGTTGCCCATATGAGGTAATTTTGCAGTTAATGTACAAATCCACAAATTTTTGCTATTTCATTTTAGGAAATGAAAACAATTTTGCTGCTAAAGAAATTAAGGGCATCAAGAATTTAGATTTAAGCCCACTGTATAATACATTGCATTTGGCTCACTGAAAAAAAAAAAAAAAACAACTTTTCAGTATCTGAATTCTTTAGTCTTAAAAACTAAACATTTTACATTTTCTCCATTGATTTAGCATCAGCTAAGATTCACAGATTTGTTATCCATGTACTTACCATATGTATTTCTGCAAACTGGGAAGCAGTTTTGCTAAATCAGAGCCAAAGCCCTAGTAGATGCCATTAAACTAGCTTATCCAAACATTTGTTACCTTTCTACATACATGGCTGAAGAGGAAAGAATTAGCCTATAAAAATAACTTTCATATGGGAATAAGACTTGCACATATCACTGCAAATCTGCTTATTAAAATGTTCATGCCAACATTTCACATGAAGTTAAACTACAGAACACTGCTTTTAAACTCGGAGAAAAGAGAAATGAGCGTTTCCAATAGAGCAAGACTGTGCTTGACCTAGAAGGGTAGTGAATCCATCAACTCTTTCACAGGTGAAAATACTCCACATTTTGCCCAATTAAATCTTAGGAGCCCCAGATCAAGACAGCACTTTAAGAACAAACTTCTCTGTTTTCTGAAAAGTGCTTAGGTGTCTGTTCATTTCACTGAATTTACACAAGAAGTAGGAAAGACCTCTTAAGCTGGCAAATCAGCTAGGACACATACATTAGAAACTACATTTTGTATGGTAACTGTGATCTGGAAAAGTGTCTTAGTTTGGCAAGAATGTTATTTATTTCAAATTAATTACCTAATGTGTAGAAAACCCAGGTTTGATCCTATAGTTATTTCACATGGTGCAATTCTCATGGGAGCCCAAGAGAATTCTGCTTGCATTAAGGTGGAAAGTCAGCAAATGTTTTACATTGCCTTTTTTTTTTGCTCAATAAAAGATTTAAAAAATTAATTTCCTCAGTGTCTTGGCAATTTTAAAGTGCACAATTGTCTTACCATGACATTTTAAATATATCACTTATAAATTAATTTTAAAGTGACTTATTTTTGGCTTTTTGTTTACTAATTTCCTTGTCTTATGTAGCTGCAGCTGCTGTCTTAGCATTTCATTGTATATGGGAAAACAACATACTGAATGAGCTGATGAAAAATTCCAAACAGAGCAATTTAGAATTGTATTCATTAGGCCTATTTAGGCAGCTGAAATTGTACAACCCTGATGTCATACCAATGATGTTTGTCATCTACATCAAACAAACATGTGGGACAGTAGTTTTTTTCCAAGAACATTTGATTGTGTTAAGCTCCTCAGCACAGTCATACAAAATCATGACTTGCCTATTAAAGTTCTTATTAGCTCTGACTAATTACTGGCAAAGGAGATCATGCATTTCCTGAATGTATTGCCAAGCAAAGTTAAAAGAAGGACACATGAAATGCAGTGCATGGATGGATCTGTATTTATCACAAGATAAATATGTAAATCTGTCAAGTTACAAATTCAAACAAATAATAACAACCTAAATAGTTTCTGGCTTGAATCTCAGCAATGGATTATAAATGTATTAAAATATAATTTATTCACCTGTAGTCTACTTTGGTTTTACAGTATTTGCTAACTACTCTTTGCTTCCTGGAAGATGGACAGAAAAAAAAAATCACAATGAAAATCCAGAACAGGTCCTTATGTCTATAAGAAACATTATATGATACTTATGTCTATAGGAAACATTATATTATTATATTCTCCACTTCTGTTTGTTATTAGAATAGTGTCTTTAGTGGCTGTCTGTTAATTACTGGCCATTGTACAAAGCTTCCTTTATTGACTATGTTCAGGCTTCACCTTACGTGTCCTGACTTTGCTGTATACTGTCTGTGGAGACATGAGAACAATGCATGTTCTTTTGGGGTGCTAAAGATCTTAATTTTTTTCCTAATACGCTTTTCTTATTATGTTCTAACATTTTCTCTAATTCTGCAGTTTATAGCAGATGCTTGTTCTAAAGCACTGTTTTCACCTAGGAATCCCTTTTCTAAGTTGACATCATGTCACACTGATTTGACAAATTCTGTTCCTAACCTCATGGGCATCATTTCAGTTCCTCCTCTAAGTAGAGGGGAGATAATGTGGCATTTACAATCTTGTGTCTGGGAGCAGATTTAGCTGCAACATGTCTTTGTGAAATTTAGTGAATAAAAGGGATTAACAGAGATCCCTCCCCATGTCCTCTTGATGCAGCTGGCAACTTTTGTAGGTATCCAGGCAAGTATCCATGAGTCTGTACTAGTAATTGCAAAAGCCAGACTGGGACCAGGTCCTTAAGACTCAACTCCTTAATTTTCATGTGTGACTCCAGTGTGGCTCCTTGCTGTGTAAGGACAGCATATCCAATTTCTGGGGAAAGTCTACCCAGGACCCATAGCCAGAGAGATTCCTCATCATTTACAGATTCAAAATGCCTCCTTGGGGCTACCAGGGCAATAGAAATGAGGTGAGAAGTCTACACAGATGTTCTGATCCATTGAAAAAGCTCATTCTGGCTTACGTGGCAAGTAAGCAGCAGTGGTCCCTAGCAGCTGCCAGGAGCTGAAAAGGCACAGGAGAAAAGGCGCAGTTATCCCGGGACTGACCTATGCACACATTTTCATCGTCCAGCTCTGCAGAAGCATTTCTGAAGTAGCCCAGCCTGCATAACTCGCAGTGCTGACCTCTAGTGTTGTGCTTACAGCTCACGCAAATGACCGTATTGAGCAGCTCGATGTAACTGCACCGGTTGGAGTGCCCGAAGCATTCACAGTCTTTCAAGGAAGAACAGAAATGTATACAAAGTGTATACAGCAGCAGAGTAATAGCACATTACATGCTTAGTAAAAATGAACCATGAGCAGAAGTATGAATGAATGGCACATACATGTTAATCAATGTAACATGGACAGCAGCAGATGTTTATCTGCAATGGAAGTGGAGCTGGTTTCAGGCAGGTTAGCATGACCCGACAACCATGGCATGACGTCGGAGGTTGGCTGTTGTTGGTAGACCTGATGGAACTGAAGCATTTGCAGTTGTAAACCTTTCAGGGTTACTGGAGGTTCAGTTTCCACTGAGAGAAATGCACATATTTCTGCACGTTTGAGATGAGTATAAATCAAGACCCGGGAAAAATCTCCTCCTATTAACAATGTTAAATTCAGTGGACAAAATTGTCAAACTTAATTATGATTAAATCCACAATTGTAAGTAGATTTTTTTTTTTTTTTCTGACAGAAATGGAAAGTATTCAAAAATGCTATTGAACTTGGGGTGCTGTAACTGCTAGGCACCTTGAGAACCAGTGTTTTAATTCATGGCCAAATAAATCTCTAGTTTGACAATTTTGGCCAACACCTCCTGAAACGATTAACAGTGAAGAAAAGGAAGGAAGACAGTTATTGGAGAATTACATCAACTGTACTTTTGAGGTAAGCATTAACCGATTTTTGTATTCCGAGATGAAAATCAGTTGGGCTAGAAAAGATTATGAAAATTCTGAAATGTGTACTGACTAGAAAGCATGCTTACTGCAGCCATCTGAAACGAAGCTGGCATGACAGCCACTTTGAAAAAATCCTTCATTAAATATAGAATGCTAGTGCCTTTTAGTCTTTAATCACAAGCAATACTTGGCTTTATGCAGAACAAAGAAAAAATCAGAAGTGTATCAATAACATTATAGAAGACACAGCTCTGTGTTGTGTAGAACACTTGTGTGAGCCTGATCACTCAACTCTTGGGATTATGAGCCCAGAATGAATGCAGGAAAGGTTACTAGGATTATCAGAGAAGTTGAGTCTATTTAAAAAGTGCAGATTAGGAAAATTTGGCTTGTTTATTGTAGCAAACTGATGATAGAAGGTATCCCCTTGTATAAATACAGCAAGGAGCTAAACCTTCTGCCATCCTAATGGATAATACTGGCACAAGAACAAATGGATGTTAACTGGCTGTTGGGAAATTTCAGCTGGAAATTAGAAGATGATATCTAGGCATTAGGGCAGGGGGTGAGGTTCTCAAACACTTTCCATTTGTGACAAAACACACTTTACAGATGTAGCTTATTAACTGGTAGAATAAATTATAGTATGTTTCCTGCAATAATGGAGCACTGGATGCAGTGACTTGGAAGGGCTTTGAGGTTTTGAAGTTATCTTGTAATTAAATAAATCTGTAGCAGAGGGTGTAAAATGTTTCCGTATATGACAGAGGCCAAGTCCCCTGCTCTCCTTTCCTCTGGTATGCTCCTGATTATGCTGGGCTACCTGATCATCCCCCTGATTAGTGGAGTAGGGCATCACATAAGTATTTGAGCCTGTCTGTATTTTTGTAAAGAAACAACAGTCACAGTAGATGTTTCTGAGTATGCTCTGCACTCCCAATACATGGATATATCTTTGGCTTTTGTCTGATGTACTGGACCGTAAATAGATTAATTTTTTTTTTAGACACTTAGCACAACATATGTTTCAATCTTGAGAGCTGCCTTTCTGCTGCCAGAAAGCATTAATCCATTTTACATATATGCATTTAGTTAACATATATTTCTTGTTCTCTTCAATGTTATTCTGCTAAACCAGTGTTTTGTTGTTTGTGCTAATCTGGTAATTTTGATACCAGTACAGGAGCAGGAAAACATTTGGTGTATCAGTCTCAGTATGTTACCACTTGACACAATTGAGTAGAGAGGAAAAAAAATGTTAGTTTGTTGTCTTTTGCAGCTGGTCAGTCTGATTCAGCATCTCAGCCAGCCACCCTGCAGCATTTCTCCCCAAGTATATCCATCTTGCTCAAGTGAAAGCTGCCTGTGTGGAACAGATGAGATCTAAAAGTGGAAAATAGCACTAGCAAACAGGAGTAATGGAAAATTGGAGTGATTATGTTTATGTATTTGATTTTTAAAGTAAAAAAGGCTGACAAGTGATAAGCAATCTGATCTTTCTGAATCTAACATTCAGAAGCAAGGCTGTCAGTCTTTCTGTCTGACAAAGAATCTGCCTTCTGCTACCAATAGAGAGTTTGTTTTGGTGAGATAATACTGTATTGATATGTTGTTCATAAACATTTCCATACTCCAGGTGAATTTAGAGGAAATAATTTGCCTATATACTATAAAGAAAAGCTGACTATGCTACATTATCTTTTGTATTTAAGGCAGCAGAAAGAAACTAAAAATAGTTCATGAATGAATGGCTGCACTACTTCCACTGTGAAACTGTAATACAACCTTCAATTATATTACTACCACATATAATTAGCCATAACAACAGCACAAAAACAAAAGCTGCACATGAAGCAAATCACTCTAACACAAGGCCTGCTCCAAGTTATGATTTGCAGTGAAGAAACCGCCAATAATTATGAAGCACTTGGATGTATGCACATGCTCTGAAACGTATGCAGAAGGACTGCTCATGTTCAGAGCTGGGTCATCAATGCTTAAGGTAAACAAAGAGACCAGTTTTTAAAATTGGTTGCATTTCTATGGGTATTGCTCTTTTGTAACAACTGTGCTGTGTGAAACAAAGTTTTAGTCTCAAAGTAAACTAATGCAGGAGTACAGGTACAGGAGTGCTCTAGTAGTCTTGATCAGACTAGTAAATGCTATGTGGTGTAGAAAAAAACCACACAACTCAAAACCAGTCCAGCATCTGATAAAACATTGGCAATGGCAAAAGGAAAAAAAAAAAAAAGAAATGGCAAGTAACGCTTAAATCAATTTTGTAATAACATTTGCTTCCCCCCTGCCTCCCCACCACATTGTTGGTTAGTGCAGTAATTTTTTGTTGTTGGCCTGGTCAGTAAATCAAATAAGCTATGTAGAAAGTCCTCCTATGATCAAAATGGAATTACTTTTTCTACTGGCTACATGAGGTGCTACCCCAAGCCTCCCAGACATAGCACACAGAATTGCATTCAGCACTGTGCCAGCAGGAAAGCTGTCAGTGCTGTATGGCCCTTCCAGTATATCATGTGGTTCACCTTAACCAGAAAGTATTCTGCTTGTTAGACCTGTCAGAAGCACAGCTTAGGGTCTTTAGGCACACAGCTCTGGCTAGCAGCCTAAAGCACTGTCACACACTGGCAAAGTCATGCAAACACTGAAGGAGATGGGGGAAAAGTATCAAAATCAGGCTGCACATGGTTTACCAACCATTGTGAAATGACATGAGCTTCTTACAGTGTTAGAAAATGCTGCTTTCAGTTCTGAGTACCACATATCAGAAAAGACACAGAGAGGAGTGAATGGTTCAGAAACTAAAAATCTCAGAAGAGGTAATGACAGCTAGATAGGTTTAAGGGAAAAGGGATTGCCAGGTTAGATGTGATCATTGTTTTTGGCTAATTCAGGAACTGTCAAATCCCTTGCAAACTCACAGAAGCATTGACTCTTTGAGCCTCCCTGACTATTTTCCAATGCAATGATTTTATTGAAACAATCTTTGTTCTGTTGCAGAAAGCATAATAAAACTACCCACTGAAGGAGGCTCACAAAGTTGATAATCTAATTGTTTTGTTTCTATAAATTGAACACTTCCCCCCCCATTCTAATGCTATGCACTTACATCTTTGAGATAACATACTATTATTGTAGGGATGCAGATCAGTGGAAACTTCAGCTACGACCATTAAAACATGAAATGTCATCACATGAAACAATGATAAACATACAAGGAAGGGTAGCATCATCTCTAAACTAAGACAGGTTGCATGAGACAGCTATTAGTGTCACTTTTTAATTAAAAGCACAAACCATATTTCAAGAAAAGTGTATTCACAAATCATTAAATTGTTTTTTCTTTTTCATTTTCCAGTCACTCTGTGCTCCTCCTCCATACACTAAGGCAAACAAAGGCGATTTCATTGTAACCTTAGAAATTACCTGCTTTATAACAAATAGTATGGCTCATTACTATGATCTCATCAAATGGGTCAAACTAAGTTCAGACATTTCTTAATAACTCTTTTCCTTGTTCATATGTATTTCATGAATAATGAGATATTCACAATAGCTGCAGAAAGACAAAACATCTTCATACATACTCTTTACAGATAAATTGATGGGGAAAAACAATGAAAAGATCTCAGGGTTCAGACTGTGAATGACAAATATGCAAATGAAACAGGTTGCCTGTAAGTCAGAAAGAATATTGGCATCCTTTATTATATTCATAAAATTCCATTATTTTTATAGAACACTAGAACATCAATTCAAAATGTAATGCCTGCGCTCTGAATTTGCACACTTACAATAAAATGAAGACATAAGGCACACTTACAATGCATTAAAAGACACAACAATGCTTTACATTCCATGGCATTTACAGATACTTCTTGAGGACATGGACAATTGATGTTTTATGGATTGTTTGCCCTCAACTAATCTGCTTATGTTTCCTCTTTTACAGTTTATGCATAATCACTGAGGAAAACAAGACTCTAGTAAACATCTGCTTTCTAGGCAAGGATCTGAATAGTCATATTCATACATATAACTCCTTTAAAAATAAATGCCATGCTGCTTTATTTGCCACCAACAACTGTCTAAGAAGCATATTTATTTTTCTTTGTATGGCTTATGTTTACGTGGCTTAATGCTTCTGTTGTATTCAATGAAGATGTCTCACCAGTAAACTAATGGGTACACTCCACAGATATTCCAGATTCATACAGTGCAATGTTTTCACAACACAGAGCACTATGGGATCCCTGTATGAATCCTAGAATTCCTACCTCTCTTGTGGTTTGCAACTTGAACAGAAGAAACAGTTGACATAGCTAATTTGGGAGCAACTGGATAGGTAATAAAATGAACAGCAAATTAGAAAAAATATCATAATAGGAACAAATCAAAATATTAAAATAAACATATTTATTCTATAACTTTTGAATTTAACAATTTTTTTTTTTTTTTTTTTTTTTTTTGTAAGGAAAGGGTAAAGTTACAGAAAATGACAAGGAAGGGAATGTAATTTACATCTATGCACTATGGCAGTTTTGTGTTAGAAGTTATTTGGTGGTTTCTCCCAATCCATGACAAATGACTATATGGTAACCAGGATGGTCTGAAAAGGGTTTTATTGAATTTGAATGCACATTTATTCTGGCCAATTAGCATAAACCTAAACCCCACAATGAAATGTTTAGATATTGGCACATATTAGATATATTTAGACACTGTAACAATATGCTGCAAACACACAGAAGCTGAAGAAAAATGCTTTGAAGTTTTTGTGTTTTGTGCTTCCTACCAAAACATCAAAACTAAATTTACTTAAACTCTTATTTTAGGGGAAGAAACACTGAATAATTCTGTGCTGTTCAAAACATATTTTGCAATCAAGTTAGGTCTTAGATCATACACAATATAATTAAGCAATGAAATCCATTAGAAATGCTAAGTATAATTTAATTGAGAATGTTTTGATTTAAAGTTCTTCTGAATAACATAGGCTAATCCTTACAGAGAGCAGAGGAAAAGAGATCAGTCTGAGTGGGTTTTTTTGTTTGTTTAAAAAAGATATGCAAAAACTTGGAAAATACAATGGGAGCTAAATGAAATTGGAATGCTAGGTATTTATCAGGGATAGGTTGTTTTAAATATATGGTGAATAGTTGAAACAAAAGTACATTTCTAATCCTTCAATAGAGCACAGATCAATTAGTATTTTCTGTTTTGTTTGGCACATAGAGACTTGCACGTATAACATGGTAGATTTCACATGCACATGGTGTATTTTTGGTTTGGTGATCGTGATCCATAGACTTAATTACAGCCCTTCTCGTGTAATTCCCAACACATCTCATTTGGTTTAGTGGCCATTTTCTAGATTGCCTTTTCATTAATTTTATTCTCCACCTCTGTGTGTTATAGCACAGAAAGGGCACCCTTTGAACACGAAAGCAAGCCACAGGACAGATTTCTGCAGGGACTTTTAGGGGAGGAAAGGGCAGTAAATAAGAACAGGAGGAAATTATTTTTATGAGCAATCACTTTGAAATGTGAAGTATAGCTGAATACTTCTTCAACTAACAAAGAATCTTAGTTTTATTAGTCACCTTAAAAATTAATTTTGTTTCTTTCAGTGCTAATCGTCATATCACAGTACGTAAGTAATTTTTTGTGTAGAACTCAAATTGTAGAAAGCCATGGGTCTTTCCTGCAGAGAACTTGCTTGTGTTGTGGATGGCATGAAAGCTGAGGATGCTTCTCAGCTCACTTGGGAAAACAAAGTGGAAACAAGACATTAAAAATGCTCTTGAGGTTGACAGTGACAGCCTTTGTTAACTTAAAAATCCCAAAACTTACCCAAATACAGATTGTGCTATCTAAACAAATCCAAAATTATCCTGGGCTTTCTGTGTATCACAGATTTTAGTCTGTATGTCTACTATTCCCATATTTGCAGTAATTTGCACAGTCTGAGTGTTGGAAAACTCCCTTTCCAGGTGAGGTTTGTTTTATAGTTATTTTCTCACAGGACAGCATTACTTAGCACTAGAGAAAAATGAGTTGGATTATCATATTTACTAATTTGCCATCAGGTGGGACTCGTTGAGAGCAAATTTCAGTACCTTTAGACCACTAGGAATTTTACAGCATCCTACCTTGGTTTGGTTTAGAAACCTCAAGGGAAGAAATATTCGGCCATATCCTATCAAACTTTGGAGGATCTGCATGCATCAGGAAAAATCAGGTTTTGTTATTTACATCTGTGATATTGTTCTAAACAGGCAAGCATATGGACAAAGACAGAGATTACACACAGCTATTACTGGACTAGTCTAAGTTGCACTAGAACAGAACATGACTCCACAGTGAACAAGAAAACAAGCAATTGATGATTCCCAAAACACCAAATGGACATAAAATACTGTGCATAACAATTTCTCTTCTGTGGCTTAAAATATAGTTTTTCATGACAAGAAGATATCCTAGGCCAATATATATGGCTGTAACACCAGGAACAAAACAGGAACATATTTTGTTAAATCTGCTCTGCAGAGATAAAACGACAGTATCAGACAAATATGGACTTCTTACCAAAGACACATATCTTACTGTAACATCCTGTTTCAGGGCCTTTTGAGTGAATTACATATCTGTTACCAGAAGAAATATATTTACCAGTGGAGTGGGCCTCTTCTTTGGCTTTCACACTTTTGTGTTTTTCATCTATTTCCTGTCATCTCTGCTCATGTGTTTTACAGCTTTATTTTTTTTTATCATAATGTTAAATATTTAAATTTCTTATAAGTTCTACAAAATGTGTTACTTGCATGAAGCTTTTTGTGTGAGCAGTAGAATTAGCCGTTTCTCTTTAGAGCTTCATGTCCTTTTATTAATGTGTTCTGGGGCTAGGGAAGTAAGGAATGACAACCCTTAGCAGAATGGCTCTTGGAGCTGAAAGTGAAGGGGATGGGATTTTGGGGATGGAAAGAA